CAGCACAACCCCAGAAAACTACCCCAACAACTTCTTTGCCAGAGCCACTTCCCCACAGCATCCTGGAGCCATCTCCATCATCTCCCCTGTCCAATTTGATGAAGCTCCCCAGAGATGGGGCTGTCTCTGCTTTATATAGGTCCTGACCCTACAGAAATGCTCCCAGCTGCCTGAGGAACTGACTGCTCACTGCTCCAGCTGAGCTTGTTGTGGTTTCAGTTCGTTATGGGTAGTTGTGGAAGGGGGTGATGATCTGAGGGAGGTGATGGGGCAGCAAACCCTCATCCCAACCCCTCTGCCCTTGCCGGGGTCCTGTTTGCCGGGACTAACCTGCCCCATCTACCCCCTCTCCAGCGTGTCCCTGCCCCACCACAGAGACATCATTCGCAACTGTGCCGTCAGCGTGGACCAGATCCAAGACCTGCACTCCCCAATGTCCCCCATCTCCGAGAACCCAGCGTCACCCGCCTACAGCACAGGTAGGCATCATCCCTCCATCCCACTGGGGAGGTGGGTCAGGCTGCGCTTGGCATGGATGTGATGCAGGGACCTGGGGAGGGGGATGGAGCTGGCTGTAATCACTCCACGCTAGCAAAACCTTGTCCGGCTCTTTGCATGGCAAACTGTCCTGATGGAGGGCTTGAGCTGAGGATGAGCTCTCAGCCAGTCCTCAGCCACAGCACTGTGCAGCTGAACTGGGACTGACTGTTCGGGCAGCAGGGCTTTCCCTGAGCTCCACATCCGTGGGCTGCTGCATCCGTGGTCCCTACGCACGTGCGTATCTCCAGGCTCTGCTAACAGGGTCTCCTCTGCTCCCTACAGTTACACGGCTAAAGCCACAGGCCTGTCAAGCGGCCGGGATCGCCCCGGCCTCTCCAGTCATAAGAAGGTCCAGCGAGCCCCAGCTGTGCCCAGGGAACAGCAAACCTCTGCCAGACGCTGCCCACAGCACCCACTCGACTCCCTGCCATGGGTATGCCCGTGCCTCCCCCTCTCCCTCCGTGAACAGCTACAGCGACCCGGACACGGGGCACTACTGCCAGCTCCACCCCACCTCGCCCATCAGCAGAGACCGGCCAGCTCATGACACCAAGCAGCTGCCAACAAAGAGCTACGTGGAGAGGCTAAAGGTGGAGGAAGGACAGAGAGGGACTGTGGAGAACAGCTCTGGGGAAGCAGAGGCAGGGCACAGGCTGAAAGGAGAGCTGGACTTCAGGGGCTTTGTGCCCCCCACCATGGAGACAACCTCCTCCTTCAACCCCGCGGCCTTCCAGTCCCTGCTCATCCCCCTGGAGAACAAACCCCTGGAGATGGCCGTGCTCAAGAAGGTCAAAGAGCTGCTGGCAGAGGTGGATGTGAAGACCCTGGCCAAACACATCACCAAAGTGGACTGCCTGGTACGGCCGGGGCCAGGCGGGAGGGACAGGCACCGCTGCCCTCTGATCACTCTGGGTTGGCAGGGGATTGGAGCACCCCCGAGCATCGGGGCATCCCCAAGCATTGGAGCATCCCTGCTGGGCCCTGCTGGGGCAGGCAGAGGCTGGGCTGGGGCAATTATCAAAATTCCTCAATCAACAAAAGTCTAATCAGCTCTCACCTTTCTTGCCAGGTCGCTCGGATACTGGGTGTGACAGTGGAGATGCAGCGGCTCATGGGAGTGAGCTCGGGCATGGAGCTGCTCACCCTGCCCCACGGCCACCAGCTGCGCCTCGACCTGCTGGAACGGTACGGCAACACCACGGCAGGGCTGAGCCCACCGGGCTCCCCCGCACGACACAGCCCGGCTCCCCTGGGGTGTCCCCAGCTCGGCACGGCAAGAGGGGGAGTCCGCTGCCCCTCCCGGGGGGTGTGGAGGAGCCCTGGCTGAGCCCCGGGAGCATCCCCAGCCCCCCGTGCTGACCCCACTCCACATCTCGCCCCACGGCAGGTTTCACACCATGTCCATCATGATCGCCGTGGATATCCTGGGCTGCACGGGCAGCACAGAGGAGCGGGCGGCCCTGCTCCACAAAACCATCCAGCTGGCCGCCGAGCTGAAGAGCACCATGGGGAACATGTTCAGTTTTGCAGCGGTGATGAATGCCCTGGAAATGACACAGGTACAGGGGTGCTCCCTTTGTCCTTGTGGCCTGGACTCAGCCCCCTCACCCAAAATGCCCCCTTATCCCTCTCCCTGTGTTCTGTGGGTTCTTTCACCTTTGGGGTGGAGGGAAGGGGAAAATGCCCAGGGTAGGAGGCGTGGAGCCACATCTGCTGGGGTGTAAGCAGGGAAAGGGAATAGCTGTCCCCTCCGCAGAGCAGACAGCCCAGTCCCGCCGGGATCCGATTGTTTTTCGGTGGTTGGGCTTTTTGTTTTGTGCTGGGCTGTGTTCCTGGGAGGAAATGAATCTGCCCTCCGGTACAATACAAATCAGTCTCAAGGCTGTGGCAGCAGCGTCTCCAGGCCACACTGCTCCCTTTGGAAGATGAAAGGAGATTAAAATTCAATTTTAAATCGAGCCCAGCTGGGAAGTCTTGCTTCCTGCCTGCACAAAGGAGGTGGAACGGCTGCCCCCTCCCTGTGTCTCATCTTCCAGGCCGATGCGACGTGGGGAAGCTGCTTTCCTGGGGCACAGGGAGGGGGGAGAAGTCTTGAACCCAGCCTCAGTGCCAGGGATGTGCCGTCTCTGGGCATGAGTGCTGGTGGAGGAGGCTGTTTTGGGGAGCAGCAGGCACTGCTGTGTGCAAGACTGGGGACCACGGCTCAGGGCCAGGCTGGGCCCCCCTGGGAGCACCCTGGGAGCCCAGAGCTTGGTGCCCGGGCACTGTGCTACCCCCAGCAGGCTCCATCTACCCCACCTACTTTCAGATTGCCCGGCTGGAACAGACCTGGATGGTGCTGCGGCAGCGGCACACGGAGGGCGCGATTCTCTATGAGAAGAAGCTCAAGCCATTCCTGAAGAGCCTGAACGAAGGGAAAGGTAACAGGAGCAGCTCCCCTTCTCTCCCGCCTGCCTGCTCCTTCCCGCTTTCTCTGGGCACGGCCTCACTGGAGGGGGATGTGTTTAAGAGCTCTGACCCTCTTCCAGCCAGTGCCAGACACTTCCCCTCTAGCTGCTGAACCACCCCAGCACCCAAGGAAGCATTTCATAACAAAATAAAACCAGCAGCTGGGCACAAACACAACTCAGCTGAGCCAAATCCTTGTGCTCACGTGGCAGTGCGTGCCAAGCCGAGAGGACAGGGCAGCCAGTCGGGAAAGATGAAAAGCCATTTCTCCCCAACGCCCAGTGCTCTGGGCTCTGCAAACCTGCTCCCCATCACAGCCCCGGGAAATGCAGACACAGCCTGAGCAGGGACAGCAGCGTTCCCCTCCCAGCACAACCAGAAAGCCCAGCTGGGAGAAGCTGGTGTTGAACAAGACGATGGCCCCGGGCACAGCGATCACAGAGCCACAGCCGCTGCTGTGCTACAGCTGAGCCTTAAAGCCTCTCCCAGGAGCATGGTGGCAGCCCGGCTTCTCAGGCTGTGTGGCCACCTGAGCACTTCACGGGGCCAGGGCAGATGGGGAGGGGGCTGCAGGGGCACGGGACCGCGTGGGGTCCTCAGGGTGCTTCTTTTTGCAGAAGGGCCGCCACTGACCAACACCACCTTTCCCCACATCGTGCCCCTGGTGACTCTTCTGGAGCGAGATGAGGCTCTCACGGACAGCCCCGAGCCCTGGGAGACCACCGACAACAGCGTGGAGGTGGTCATGGCCCACCTGGAGGCAGCACGGATGGTGGCCCACCACGGCGGGCTCTACCACACCAATGCTGAGGTGAAGCTGCAGGGTAAGCAATGGGGACAGCAGAGCCCCTTTCCCTCTGCCAAATTCACAGTGTTCAGCTCCAGCCCAGCACCAGATGGAGCATCCCATAGGCACAGGGTCACCATCCCATCCCGGGGAACTGACTCTCCCTCTCTGCAGGTTTCCAGGGCAGAGCAGAGCTGCTGGAGGTCTTCAGCACCGAGTTCCAGCTGCGGCTGCTCTGGGGCAGCCGTGGGGCCGAGAGCAGCCAGGCTGAGCGCTACGAGAAGTTTGACAAGGTCCTCACTGCCCTGTCCCACAAGCTGGAGCCGGCGGTGCGCTTCAGCGAGCTGTAACCCCCCAGATGCTGGGAGACCCCCCCCAGCTCCCAGCCAGTCCCCCCAGTGGCTGTGGGGCAAGGGATGGGGCCAGACACCCGGCACCAGGAGGAGGAGAGATGGCCCAGAAAGGCGCTGGGGCACGGATCAGCAATTCTGAGACGAAGAGGAGGAAAAGCAGCCACCTCCTATGTACCACCCACCTTCTTGGGACATAGCATAGTCCACACCACTGCCCCGAGGGATGGGGACAGTGTCGGGGCAGGCCAGCACCCCGGTGTCCACTATCCAGCCCTGCTGAGGTCCACGACTACATGGTGCCCCTCACCTCGCCCTTCGGTTTTGTTTCTTTTCCATCTCTGTCTTGCCCACGGCTGCTGGATCCTGCTTGTAAATAGGTCTTCACGATCGCTTCTCGATGTACAGACTTGTGAAGGACAGTTGTTGTAAATAATTAGGCTCATTCATTTCGTCTTGTAAATACGTGTACATATCTCATGGGTTCGGTTCTTACACACAATAAACTTTTATGCTGTTCCTCAAGGGGATCCCCTCGCCCGTGGGTGTCATTTAAACAAGTCCTGGCCCTCTCGGGAGAGCAGAGCCCCGGGGCAGGGCTGGTGGGGCGGGCCCAGCCCTGCGTGGCCCCAGACCCCTTGGCTGGGGCTGCCCTGACCCCGCTCCGCAAGGGGGCACCGGGGGCCCGGAG